ATATATTTCCTGTATCTAGGATTAAAGACATTTATCTGTATTATGTATCTCTCTCTATATATATATCTCTATCTATCTATATATATACATATATATACATATATGTGTATATATATATATATATATATATAAATAAATAAATAAATGAGATGGAGAAGCACCCAGAAAATTTTTAATCTTTTGATCATTCGGAAGTTCTCAAGTTATCTCATGGCAGAGCATTTAAAAAAGTGACTAATTTCAGAATGAATCATGAATATTTGTTTTTCAAAATACAAATGAGGTTCTTGGTTGAATATGGCAAGTATAAAGTCAGCGATGAATTACATTTTATCATCTTGGTATCATCCATAAACAAAAAGGAGGAGAAACAAAACCACAAACTTCTATTAGAACACAAACAATTAGGAAATAACAAAAGGACTGCTAAAATCAATAAAGAGAATGAGTAAATGTGCATTTGAGAGCAAATGGAGGGACGATACAGGGACTGCAGAGTGCAGTCAGCCAAACACTCTTCCTGAATGTGTGGGGTGCATTGCTCAGGATGCACACCCCAAATCCCTTGTCTCTGCATGGGTGCACATGTTGGCAACAGAAGATCCTCTGATTTGATTTTGCTCTGAGAAGCAGAGAAAAAGCAGATGTACACTGGATCACACAGCAATCATATTTGCAGGAGGCTTTCTCTTTCTTTTTCTCTGTGGCAGCCTAGACACAGGCAAGTTGCCATGTAAAGTACTGTATAGCTGACTATTTGAGGACAAATAAAGGCCAAAGAAATGCACAGCCCGAAGCCCGTACCTTTGGAGCACAAAGACAATCCCAGTAGCTGTAGTCCTTTCTGCATAAAAACCTCTTGCAAAAAAATCTGGTCCAGGAAAGATTCATTTACTATAGATATACAGAAAATTTTAAAAAGGAAATGAAAACCCTCCCATACTGGATAACAAACAAAATCAATCTTTAATTTGAAACTGTTAAATGAAGTGACTGAGAACACTTGAAGATGACAAAGTATTCCAGGTACTGCAAAAAAAAGGAAAGGAGAGGTTATAATCTTCACAATAGGCAGGTTGAATTCAGGCCAAAATTTCTTAAGAAAGAGAAACAAAACCCTTTATTTGCTAAAGGATAAACTTTACAGGGAAAAGACAATTGTACATCAACACTCAAGGCAAAAACAAGAGACAGGGTGAGAATAAAGTAAAATATATTAGTGGTAAAAGAACTCATTTTTCAGTTTATGATGTATCGGGTATGTGGAAAAATCAGTAAAGATAGATCATCTAGAGGAAATTGAATATATTTGAATATTTATTTATTTATTTATAGTTGGATTTTGTATCCTGCAACAAAATAAAAGATAAAATAGTTCTTTTAATATTTGTGGAGTCCTCACAAAAACTGATTATATATTAGGCCAAAAAGAAAAATCTATTAATTACCAAGATAAAATTAATACACACTGTGAGCGGCCATCCAATGGCTGGTGAGCGACTGTCTCACCCGGGGAGAGTGCAATGATGATACCAACTTGAGACAGTGAAGCGACATCCTCCACAACTAGATTGAAGAACAAATAGAACAGCAACTTGTCTGTTTCCCTTCCCCGATTCCCCAACACTGTACCCCTCCCCAATTCCCAATAAAATCTTTTTTTTTTTTTTAGATTTTTTTTTTAAATTGGGGAATTGGGGGAATGGGAACAGTGCTGGGGAATTGGGGGAAGGGGAACAGACAAGTTGCTGTTGTTTTGTTCTTCAGTCTAGTTGTGGAGGACGT